TGAAAAACAGAGCTCAATAGTTTGTCATTGAATCTAGTGATAGAAAAACTAAAATGCATTAAGTTATATCCACTTTGATGATGAATATTTATCTTAAAAACTTTATAAAAAGAAAGGGAATCAAAAAATCAGAGAAAAGATACATCAAAAGAACAAGTGAACACGGTGGTGATCTTATATTGCAAAGAAACTTCAGAACATATCCAGAAGGGTCCTAAATCATCACAATATAAGACTATTCTTCTGAACAAACAATACTCTAAACACTAAATTACGAAGAAAGACTCATTAACAAAGAGGGAACAATAAAATAGTGAATATTAGATTAAATGCTGGGAGTGTAGTGCTAAATATATGGGTAAGATATCACGAGAGATGAATGTGCGAGTGAAGGGAAACACATTTCTGAATTTTCAGAAGATCTGAAAAAACAAGTCAGTGATAGAACTGTATGCAATAGAGTCGGACCATACCAGTGATTTCAATCGCATAAGAATCCTACAACAAGGTTTTAGTTCTTACAAAGAGAGAATTATAGTTTAAGTCCTACATATACGAGCAATTCCAAACAATGTTAATAGCAGAGATAAAATGCAATTAACTGTTTCATGACAACTAATGATTAATAAGTAAATCTGGAATCATTATATTTTACTTCATTTAATCCATTTATTATTATGTGGACAACGATGATTACTTTCACTTGTTCTAATCAGTTAATTTACTGAATATACAATAAATAACCATCTTGGTCAACACGATAAAAAAATCTATTTGCCTACTTATCGTCATTTTATGCATGTCGTGACGTTGGATTCATCATCTCTGCTTGAAATTCTTGTGAGAATATCGAAGCAATCTCCACAGAATACACAAATGCCAAAAGAATTTGATCAATCAGAGTCCTAAACATCACTGGTAAGATTCAAGCAACCAATATATATGAATTGAAATTTACCCCACTGCACAAGCTAGTGAATCACTGCACTCAGTAGCTAAGTGGATAACGTGGCGGGGTCTGAAGCAAAACTATGGGTTCGAGTACCAGAATGAAAATCATCTCTGGGATACAGCTACATCCAGCTGACGAGTCCCAAACAGGACAAAACTCTTTCTGGGTTCCATTGCTAGACACCAACGTACTCTGATCAAGACATTCATCAAATTATTTGATTTATCCGAAAACGCCTGTACAGAGACGATATATAATTAATCATTTTCTCGCTTCACAATTACATACACCAAATGCCTCATACACATAGTAAAAAATCTCACTTTCAACATTGTTAGCTTTGTTCGACCACTTGTTCGGCACATAATTCACCGGTGAACTATTGATGTATATTCGATAATTTTGATATCTGGTTATATTTCCTTGGAAAACCTTGGACCAGATTGCCAATTGAAATGTTGGATTTGCTCAAATTTCAATCGGTGAGATTTTTACAGATATAATTTTCTTAATTACCAACCTCTTAGAAAATTTCAATGAGTTCCATGTACACATAGGTTTTATTTTGATGACGTACTTCTTAACGTAACTCATATCCAGGACATTACGGTTAGTGAACGCATCAGTCATGTCTGAATTGAGTTTTATCGATACATTAAAAACTACTGGGTTAATACATTACGTATTATGTGCATATAACTAGCTCCCTATAAAGCTCATGAATAGAATCTGTATTATAGGCTTTGGAAAAATGTAATTGAATAAAGTCGGTTTACCATTGTGAACAAAATCTCCCGGCATCACTTGCACGTTTATTTTAAAATCCTATGAAATCGGATCTTTTTATTTGCCTATTTTTATAGCTTTCAAAGTGTTTAGAGATGGTGGAGAAGATTTGTAGCTCAGGTGGATGATTTCGGTGGAGTTTATTTGATTTTCTTTAGTTTCATTCTGCACAAAACCGAAAGATTGAATTATAAGTTTTACTTACTTATAAGGTAGAATTAATAGATAATCTAAAATTGTAGACTAAAATCATCCAAGTTAAATGCACGTATTTTGTTAAATGGATCTTTTAATTCTGATCAATTTCTGATCATTTGTGATCAGTGATTAATTGTGTTCATTATTATGTAATTTAATGAAAGAGATAGAGTAAAAGATTTTGCTAAGGGGATAAGTAACAAACCCTGTAAAAACAGTAGTTACCATAACAAATAGCTTTTTTTTAAAAATATATAACAGTGCAATATCTAGAAATTTTGAGCAGTATTCCATCCGTTTAATGGTTCAGTGCAGCATATAAGAATGTAATTTTCGCTTAAAACTTGATATGAATTATGTCAAGTTATTTACATATATGTCCTCTATAAACGCGCTACTGTAGTTTATTCTGATTTGCCGAATGGAAAAAAAACAAACAAATAAAGTGAACTTTAGAGCTTGAAATGAAATAACAAGTGAAACTTATGCTCTTAAATGCAGAATCTACTCATTAAATGGACAGAAAAATGCTAGATATTGCACACATATTGGACAATAAGAAGCAGATGAGATGCAAATTCAAAGACATGTTTTGTATCCCCTGAATCTCCATTTCTTATTTTTGAATTACCATTTGGTTTGTTGAACATATATGTGATTACAAGTGTTAGAAGTTAGTTATGTATTGTTTCTTTTTGTTTTTGATGATGAATATGATCAACAGCCAGTTAGTTGTATAACCGTCATATTTTACTTCAATAAGTAATCAGAACCTTGTAAAAATGTAGACCATTAACTAACATGGTGTTAAATTTATTTACGTATTTCGCATTGACATTGATCACAGCTGGGTAGTTTTTCAACTAATTAACTACATAATTAACAAAATTGTTATATGGAACCAAGCCATCAGCTTCAAAAATTGTAAGCCTAGCATAAGAGCCTCATAAATTAAAGATTTTATTAAATAACAAAGTAATTAGTAATTCTCATACAGATTTACAGCTTTAGTAGATTATATCAGACGCCTTTTATTTTCAAATGGCTCCATTATGATTCCAATAGTTCATTTTGAGGATTGTAATCATTAGAACTATTCACTTGAGCAATACATAAATTTAGTCTGTAATGTTGTAAATCAAGTAAAACTTCATTCCTGACTAAAGTGCATTCAATTCAGAGGAAATAGCCGAAAATATGGTAGTCGTCAACTACGGACACGAAATGCAATGGATTTGGATGAAATTGATCACGAAATACTTCCTGTTAGTCATAAGTAGCAATGTTATTCAACATGTTAAGCAATATGTTTGAAGTAAATTGTGAGTTATTCTAATCACCGTATAATTACAGTAGATTCTAGTTGGCTAAATATATGTTAATCAAATGATTTTCTGGGTTGTCTTATCGTCAAAACACTAAATAAGCTAGATATAATGAGAGGAAATTTCGGCTTGACGTATTCACAATATGATCCTGTAAATCTTGATACCTGATCTAGATACGAGTAAGACAATACCTGTGCATTATCTCTGAAGATCGGGATATGATGAGTTTTTCTCATCAAATATCAAATTATTGTACATATGCTATCTTTACTCATGCTATTTATTTAAGTTTAAAAGAACGAAAGTGTTATGAGATCAATCTGAAATTGGAAAGAATAAATGTAGAATAATGGGCTTATGGTAAATGTAATATAATAGTTAACTAACCGTACTAACAGTTCTAAATATAATTTGCTTTAAATTTATGCATTTTTATCATAGATATTGCATAGAACTATTATATTCGTTTTAGGGATGTCATTTATTATCTGCTACTTTTTTCTTGTTTGAAATGAAAATATTCAAGCTAGGGTACTGTTGCTGTTAAATTCCGTACGATTGGAAATTAACCTATACCTATGATTTTATACTACTTGACTGGAAGAAGCTAGTAGTACATGTGTTTGAAGAGATGTTTTCGGGTATTTTCATGCTATTTAAACAAACAATATTTATTATTGTTCACCTTGAAATCAGTCTTATTATGTTTACCGATAGAAGTGTTTCAGATTACTTTTTGCCTTATTTTCAATACACTATAAGCCTATACACAACTATCGCATATTGTGTAGGCATATGAGGTCAGACAAAGCAACTGAATTAGGTGGTCGTCATCGTTATTATCATTATTATTACTGTTGTTTTCGTGTACACTCACACAATGGGCTATGGATTAGACAGATGAGGAGAGGACATAAAATCTCTAATGATTGGTAGGGCTATAAAATTTATTTTATGCTGTATACTAGACAGGCACAATTGTAGCACTTTTCTCTTTTCTCTCTGTCTATTCCAATGTTGTTCCGTATAGGATATTACACAAAGTAATAAACAGTGAATCATAAACCGTAGGTAATCCGAATATACATCTATGTTTATATTTGTTTTTGCAATTGTGACATTTTACAGCATCAAATTTTTATGTGAAATTCTCCATGAAACTTAGGTGAGTAGTGTTACATCTAACCTATGTGATGGCCTATTCGATGTAGCAGCAAAAGGAGATAGGGAAATACAAACATACATATGTTTCTAGGTCAACTAACGCAAACGGGCACAGATGTAGAAAAATGTAAATTGTACATATGTGTAAGTCGACACATAAACGTACAGAAATATACTCCTACAAGTACACTAGGTAATATATAAAGATATGTATATATATATACATGTATATCTATAATATAAGTACATGCATGCAAATGTGATTACCATTTTCACAGTATATTAACGATCAGGTCATGGGGATAAAAAGTTAAATCGATTATTTATCAGGTTATATGTGACACAAAACTGGAAAAACAGTGACATCTAATTTTAACTGATTATCAATTTCATAGTTTAAAACCACTTCTGAATTATTTCTGTCGCTATAATAATTTTCTTACAGAAATATAGAAAATTCAATCTTGGAATTAATATTACACTTATATATTATTACATTTCACTTTTGTTCAGTTATTGAATATCATCTTTGAGACAATAAATTCAATTATTCTGTGGTCATATGAAGGATAATGTTCAAATTCCATGTACTATCCAAAGTGTAAGTAGATTTTCCAAATTAATTTGAATATAAATCTTCTATTGCATTATTTCAATCCATGAATTTTCTCGAGTATATATATATATATAAAGAGCCCATTTCGTTTATTAGATAGGAAGTTTAGTGCCTTCAAGTTGTAAAGAAAATCAATATGAAGTATTCAATGAATACTATGCTCTTGTTATATTGATCAACGATCTGTATTTATGATTAGAAATTTATTTGATTTAACCGTGATAAATGTCAAGGTCATGACAAGGAGCAGAACAAATACTCTAGGCATTTAACAGTTAATAGTCTAATTGATCTATAAATTATCCTTATTTCATTCAGTTACTATCATTATTTAATATCATAGCACGTACTGTTTTTTAAAAAAACCAATTAGATTTTCTCCCTTAGATAACTATGTAAATTCGGAGATTAGTAAGTGCATAAAAGTAGATTGTTTCTATTTGTAATTCATTATGATAAACACGATAATAACATGGGTAGAATGTAATTTTAAGGAACATTAATGGTCCAAATGGTACAAATAATTAACTGAAATACCAAACTTTCAAAGTATATGATGTGTGTATTATCTGTTGGTAATCATTAAATAGTTAGCTAACTAATTTACTATTTTTAGACTGCGAAATTTAAACTTTTTAAAAGATTTTGTGTAGATTACAACGATTTGAATTATACTTACAATTTGACTGTTTAAATTAAATCTTAAAAGTGATAACTCTATTGTTCACCACTTGAAAGGTGTACAGTTTGAAACAAAGTATTTGATGTAAAACTTATGTTATATTTTCATTGAATTAATCAGTCTTTTAAAGATTTTGTATATTGTAAAGATAAATTGCATCAGTAACTGGTGTCAATTGAAGAGCAAAAAGCGAAGAACAGCAGTAGCATTTTGGTTTAGGTCTTTTTTTGTAAAGAATAGTTGCCATATCATAAATGGTCAAATTTAAGGCATCCAAATCATTTTAATACATGGGTTGCGTAGAATAAGCAATAGTGATAATAATGATAATATCAATCATTTGATTTTCTGAGCCAGCAAACTGAAGATCTAAACAACACCTACGGGTTAGTATTACTACACTGAATATTTGAAGCTTCACGTTTCAATTCACTGATGTGGCCATTTTACAATCTTCAGTTTGCATTGTTACCATTTAACAGTTAAAGGTGCGTTCAACAATATTTGGGATGTTTAAAATTTCGGTTTAATAGCATCTGTAGCTTGATATATACACTTTTTTTGACATATGATTATTATATGCTGCTCATCAATACTGGGGTAATACAATGAATACTTGTTACAAAAGTACTCTTAATAATTTTTCTACCCTTTCTATAACTACAAAGGTCAATGATTCAAAGACTGAATGTCAGAATATTTTTACTTCAAATATCAGTTCAATTTCAATCAATACCTTTTTTTAAAACACATTGAAAATCTGTACATTTTGATTTATGTTAGCCCACTATTGCCCATTTCATTAAATAGGTTTCTTGGTTTCTTATATATGAAATATATTGAACAATGGATATCCAATTCTCGTATAATATTTTCGGTAACTGCGTTTACATACACTTATTTCTTCATTTTTTTTTCTTGCCTACTTTCAGAAATACATTACAACGATTGTTATATTTAGTTGGATTATATCTTGTAGTAATTGTTCAGTCGGTGAGATCTGTAAGTTTTTGTTTGTTATAAATAGGGTATTATTTATCGCTTTTGATATCAATGATATAAACAAAAACCTCTTGTATTCATTGAAGAGTTTTTTCAAAACTGGGTCTTATTTTCCAAGTGAATATTAGACTACCTCATAAGAAACATGATTGCCAAACTGATTTATGCAAAAAAACGTTATGAAAAAACCCGGTTCCATCATTTTTAGAAATAACGTAAATTCTTTGAATTAGACCGGAGAAAAAAAACGAACTTGTCTTAAGTTACAACTTTAAGGATTCAATATCATCCAAACAATGTTTCCACATTTTCTCAAATTGTTGTTTTCATTTGTACTGATTTTGACAGTTTACTGATTCGTTAACTCTTTTAAGAGTTCACCAAAAAAAACAGAAACGTTTTAGTACAAGGAGAGAGAAGACTGCATTCTATCGTATTTGGTCACGTTTATACTAATCACTCTTTGTGAATTCATATTTTTCTTCTTCAGAACACCTACAAATTCTAGAGATATCGTGGATTGGTGGAAGTTAGACATTAACACTGATGGATGCCGGCTCAGTGGTCTAGAATAATTGATAAATGTATAAAATTAATACTGTCATTCCATATATTATTATCTAAATAACTAGAATTGTTTCATTTAAATCATGGAAATTACATTATAGGTTAAGTACAAAACAAATCAAGCATAACATTCATTACAATTATACTTCAGGCTCAGTAAAATTTTGTTACCACAATAATTTTAGAGAAAATATTTCTGATTGTTGAATTTTGAAAATGTAATAAATTAATTATACAATTAACTAAGACTTGTCTTTAATGCAAACAATCTCCATAAACCTGTATTCTTTTTAAGAACTAATTTATAGAAATAATTCTGGAAGGTTTATTATATTGAAAATCCATGTCAGGTTAAATTTAACTATGTTTGGTGTGAGGAAGTTACTCATTAATGGAAGTTAAAGATGGTTGCAAAGCATAACTTATTGATTGAAAATAGAAATATAGGCAGCTCGATGGTGGTTATGTGCCCTCCATGTAACTTATAAGTTCTGCATTCTATACCCGATGGATTCAGACTCTCATCACTAAAGTGAAACGAATCTCTAGTGGACCATAGTTTTAAGCAATTATCTAACCACGTTTACTCTTATGTAAACTATAAAATTCCACTGTTTATACAAACCTCTTTACTAATAATCATACACACATTTTCAGTTGATAGTATTATTATTCAGTGAGGAAATCGGTTTTTTTAATGCAATAAGTTAATTTTTTGTATTGGTAACGTTTTAAAGTTAACGAATGCTCTTTTTTGATGTTACAGAAGAAACGAAATCAGAAAAAGAAAAGAATATTCTAAATGCCAAAAAAACATCCTTAGTTGAAGATACATTATTATTATTAATATTATTATTATTATCTCAAATAATTTAGTTTTATGACACTTTATGTTTAATTGTTTTCAACAGTATGTAGTAAGTATTAAGATCGCTCAATTCAATAATAGGCAACATTGATTACTTTATGTAACTAATCATTTCCATCAAAATGTGTAAATTAGCTGAAATATCTCATACGGTTTCACAGTTCAAAGGTTTAAAATGATTGTGATTACTTAGTATTGCAGTTTGAATTTTATTGAATTGAATATTTCTTAATTTTATCTACTGAACCTACGGTTGTATAAGAACTAGAGGTGAAACTATAATTTATGGACGACCTTTGAGCGACGCTAAAGTGACCTTGAGATTGTCCGCCTAATAACTAGGACCAAATAAGGATTATAAACCTGTGTAAAGACTTCGAATTGTGATTTACATTTGACGTTTAAAGTTAGGAATAATATTTAGGGTTTGGATCACGAACTGACATCGGCTATAATGCCAACACTCTATTTTGCCAAATAGCTGAATGAATTTTGCACCAAAATCCGAGACCTGTTATCTTATACCTGGTTGGTTCGTCCATAAATTATAGTCTCGCCCATCGTCTGTTATGTTTATGAATTTTACTGTCACTTAATTAAAATCTGATTTTTTTTCAGTATTATTTCAGTAACTGACTATTTTAATCTTCTATAAGTAACCCAATTTTGGAGTAGCTGGATGTTATAAGATGACTTAAATAATAATTAGAAATAAATTAGTAATAACATTTAGTCAATTTTAGTCAAAAATGTAAAGTATTAAAATAAATATAAATGATTGGAAAGGTAATTAACTCAGTACTTTGAAGTGTTATGGAATTATTTCCAAGATAAATTAGAAGAATGAGGACAATTGATTAATTATAAATCAGCAACATTAATAACAAACATTCTACGGTTCTCAGTAAATGCTCGTCTGGTATTAATTTATGCCGCAAACCAATAATATGAATTTACATTCATTTCCAAAACGAATAAATCTTTCATGAACCTTATCATCAAATTAAAAATGTTGGCTGAAAGCTTTTTATACACAGTTCACAATGATAAAATGAAGTTTTCTTAGAATGTTAACATATGGTATCTTTAAATAATAAAGATATTTGATTGCGCTTATTAATCTTATAGATATTAATAATGGAGCTCATAAAACTTTGTTGTATCCATAATCTACTCTTTTCAGATGGTAGATTCCTGACATATGTTCTAGCATTCAATCAACCAGGAACTTTACGTGTTTATAAAATAACTATTGATAAAATCAACTAGCTTAAGTAAAAATCGTTCTTTTTCTCGTTTGACTTCTAGTTGTATATTAATTCAATTCACTCAATATCATGTTAGATGAAATCTGATAATTTGAAATTTTTATCATTTTATGTTATAACTTAATTTTTAGTATAGGGTTTTGAAGATTGTTCAGTGTTTGATTCAGATCATTAATGGATCAATATTAGACTACCACTGAAAGTCCGGAATCAATGAATGGCTGTTTTCAAGTATAACACTACTCAGCAGTGAGCATCCACAACTTTGCATACGGGACTCGAACCCAGGACCATCGGTCTCGCACGTAAACGCCCACCATCTAGACCATTGAACCGTCATCCAGCGGTGTTAATGTTTAACTTCAACCAATCCACGATATTACGCAACCATCTTCACATCAGACATTGTTGAATTGTACTGGTCACGGAACCCCAGGAAATCCATCCACTAGTGAGGTGGGGTAATTGAAACTGTCAACATAGTTAACATTTTAGCATTGTTTTGTTAGTAGAAGATGCTTCGTAAAAAACATTGTATATCACTATCTGTTATAATTCTGAAGCAATTACGTACACGCATAGACAGGAATACAATTCAAAATAAATATGCGTTTATTTAACTTCTTACTTATAGTGAATACGTTTAAATGTCATGATTGTTAGAGTTTATAATTCTGAATGTAAACCTTTGACTGTTATTCTTGTCAAGCTGGAAATTCGAGATATTATATTAACAAAGAAAAAGTATTGAAGAAAAAGGTTAATTTTTTCTCTTGTAAATAAAAAAATGGTTAAATTTAGTGCTACTTTTAAGTGTCAAGGCACATGACCTTGACATTATGTTGTAAATCGAATTTCTATTCTGTCGTATAAATAAGTAACTTTTTATATTATATTGACGTAATAGATTGTTTAAACTAAAGTAAGCTTATAATATTGTGTAAACTAAGTCTTGAAACAAGACTGACGTTAAGATAACAACAATAGAGTCTATCATTCAATAGTTTACATATGTGTGGTAACTTGACATCAATGTTTATTAACTGTGTTAAACTCTATTAATCTACATTTAGACATCAGATAATCAAATTAATTTAAATAATGAACAATAAGAGATTTTTAATAAAAGATATGGTAATATGGTATTATCTTTAGTCAAAATGTATTCGGAAAAATGAATGAAAAATAATAATAGTAATAATTCACTAATGTAGTTGGAAATGTACATTTTCAAACTACAAATAATGTAACAGTTGAATTCATGAGTCAATTAAAGCTAAACCACTACGGGAAACCATGAGAAACCGTCCTGGGTTCGAATTTCGCGGGACGGGATCGTGGATACACACTGTTAAGAAGTCCCACAGTATGACAAAACGACTGTCCAGTGCTTCCAGGTTTTCCATAGTGGTCTAGCTTCAAATGACCCATGAACTGAACTATTAAATTACTATAATATCCATAAAACCCTTCTCTGATTATAAATAATGTATAAATATATGTGCAAAATTAAATATTTTGAAAATAATGTAATCAGGTAATCCCTTTGATAAATTTCGATAATGCAATGAGAAGATGAAGTTCATCGAAATTATGGGATATATTGACTCAATACATTTCGAACAATCTGATCACACATATACTTGTTAACACCAGTAATAGTTCTAAAAGACTTCGTCTTTTCACTGCATTATCGAAAAGTAATCAGTTCAATTTATCTTTTTTAAAAGATTATTATTAATTAATAAATAGAGTGAACATTTTCAAAGTTGATTTACCAATGTTTCATGTTCTGACCATTAGGCATAATATAAACAGTGTACAGTTATTGTATTAAGTTTACTCATAAGATTAAAATGAATGTAATACATTTGAAAGTACACATTTATAAAAGAACTTTAAATTTTTTTGAATGGTTTCATGTACAGCAAGGTTTTACTATTCATAATTGTATGCATAATGTTTTCGTAAACTAAATTTCCGGTGATTTCCATATAAAAATCAGTTACAGAATAAAATATAAGTCTCGTTACGTATACTGCCTTCTCGTGGCTGGGGTGTTGTTTACGGAATTGAAACGACGAATAGCGAATGTCCGACTCTCTAACAAGGTTGATGGACACAGAGGATCCATCTGAGGGAGTTAGTTGGAAAACCCTAATTCCAAATCAGTGGTGCACATGAACTCCATGATCCTAAGGAAACAAATACTATATAAACCTATTGTTGGTCACTGGCTAGCATGGGACTGCATCTCCAGATGTAACTCCACTGCTTTGTGGATTAGACGTTTAGATCGAAGGCTTGGTGTGTGGCTCTCTGCGAGAACCACCTGCTTCGGTGTGGGCACCCGTGCAGTAACACGACCCACAAACAAATCAAATGACTTGTGTAGCGCATATGTATTCGGTGCCCCTTTGTACCAATATTTATGTGCTCAAATAAATAAACGTTTTTTAGAAAATGCAGTACACAGTAAAAAAAAAACTTCATTTTGAATAAAAGGTCAGTGAAATCAAAGTAAAAATATTTGAAATACGAAAATTCGATCGGAAAAAAACAACTAAATTAGGCATGAAACGATTATGGCTCGAAAAATTATTTCACAAAAACATTCCTAATTTAATATCTTAGTAAAACAAAACGTTTCAAAAAAACTTTGGACTGCAAACCTATAAGTTCACTTATAGTTTTAATGATGCCCACACCGAAGCAGGTGGTTCTCGTAGTGGGCTACACACCAAGCCTTCGATCTAAACGTCTAATCCACAAAGCAGTGGAGTTACATCTGGAGATGCAGTCCCATGCTAGCCAGTGACCAACAATAGGTTTATATAGTATTTGTTTCCTTAGGATCATGGAGTTCATGTGCACCACTGATTTGGAATTAGGGTTTTCCAACTAACTCCCTCAGATGGATCCTCTGTGTCCATCAACCTTGTTAGAGAGTCGGACATTCGCTATTCGTCGTTTCAATTCCGTAAACAACACCCCAGCCACGAGAAGGCAGTGAGTAGGACTTCCTGACATTGTCTGTATACGCGTGTCCATGTGAGAGAATTTGGAGAGGGAGAGCTGACTTTTACCACTCTCGACCGTATCAGGAAATTAGGGGGCTCAATTATTATCAGTAATTTATAACATATGCTGCGATAAATGTCTTTAATATGTTACTAATTTAATTGTGACTTGATAAATCACTCTCATAATCTCTACTGTTACAGATGAAAGATATTTAATCCTTTAACCTTTTTTTCTTTTGTTAGCAGTCTGATCTAGATCGATGTGCAATAGTTTGTGCTCCAGAAAAATGTCAATGTGTCGGCCCACAAGGGATACAGGTAAATCTTTATCTACTTAAACATAATTTTGTTTAATAATTTATTTGATCAACTACAAACGTTTTAATAATCAGACTTTGATAGTAAAATTGTTTAGAGCTATTAAAATTTTATTTCATCATCGTATCCATTAAATAATATTTCTATCCACGTAGTTATTTTCTATAGACATTAAATCCGAATTTAAATGGTAGATTTCATACCAGATTAACACTGAACTCATCTAATAATAGATATATTTTTGTTATATCCCAATGAGTAAAAAGATTATATTTCTGACGTTTCGTGACTTGACGTAAGCCACTTATTCAGAGTAAATAAATATTCGATAGGTCCTGGATCCGAATCTCGCGAGGCGGGATCGTGGATGCACACTGCCGACGAGCCTCACAGTATGACGAAACGATCTTCCAATGCTTCCAAGCTTTCCACGGTGGTTTAGATTCGATTGACTGACGAATTCATCTACTAACTTATTATAATATCTATAATACCCTTCTCTGATTAAAAATATATTTATTATTAACCTTTTACCCAATCCTCAATTTACTTGAAACTATCAAGTTCAACCTTGATCTTGATACCTAAAAACCTGACTCATCTGTTAGATATTTGAATAATTTTAGTTATTCCACTGTCTTTATTTGTCCGTTAGATACTATTAAAGGTATAGTATGATATTTTGAACGCATCTTTCGTATAAACATTCTTTTAGTACTCCACTGCACAGAAATAAATTTATGACAATTCAGTTGTGATCATCAGTGAATTTTGTTATTGATGACAGTAGGTTAAAATGGTGCTACCGAAACAACTAAAATATCACTGTATATGATTGATAGAATTCGATCAGCATGTATGAGAAAATCTTTGACTGATAAGTGATACAGCTCTGGATCTCTGGAGAAACATTAATTTTCACAAGATTTAAGTAACAAACTATTGATAAGTGTCAGTCGCAACATAAAGAAAGTTTTTGATGTCCTACTGATTGCCCCCGAAATGAAGAATAGCAATTATAAGTATTTCAAATATAAATTGTTTGGTTCATGGAGTGAATTTAAATAAGAATTCTAAACAAATTGTTCCCATGAGTATTAATAATAAGTTGGTTGGATGAGTTTCTTTCTAAATAAGTGAAATGACACTTTCTCAGGTCGTTTCCACCTACTCGATAAGTCATACTGAAAGTGTCTTTAGTTTTCAGTTTTTTCGTTCAATAGTATATATTGGAACAATTATAATCACCTTTTTTAATAAAACTGTCCTAATGACGTCCAGATATTTATGGAAATTATGGTCGAAAATATTCATTGAATGTTTTTATTACTATTATCCTTACCTAAATCAGAACTAATAAATGATTAATTGTTCTACAAATGTATAACTTTGAACAGGGGCAACCTGGTCCAGTAGGTGTACGAGGTTCGGAGGGGCCTCCAGGTGATGTAGGTCTTATTGGACTTCGTGGATCACCAGGTGAGAAAGGTGAACAAGGAATTCCCGGTGTATTGGGTCCAAGAGGTGAAAAGGTTTGCATATATATTATATTAATTTTCTATATGATGAGGAATCCCGCTATTTATAACTTTATATCTGTCACATGAGAAACCTGAAATAACTAATTCTTATTAGATATCTTGTTTTTCGAATTATTAACAATCTTTAAAATCAATAGAGTACTCTTCTTCGGAATTAGTGTATGAGATTATTTAATTTTGAAAATGTCGACAAATAACATTGGTCTGGGTAATTTAAATGCTAAGTAAGTCGATATTAAAGCAGAAAATTCATCTATCTGTAAACGGAAACTGCAACGTATCCAGCTGTAGCTAACCAAACAATATTTAATGAACATTAAATAATAAAGTTGTTATGGTCTGAAGTTGGTTAATTAGTTATTCACGATTTGTTTCAAGTCTGTTTGCTGAATAAAAGATCTCCATATTTTACCTCGTAACTTCTACAGAATTCTTTCATTTCTACAGGGTTTACCTGGTCAACCGGGTTATCCCGGTAACGATGGTGATCCAGTAAGTCTCTAGTTAAATTAAATGTTATACTTTTTAAAGGGTCATCCTGGTATGCGAGGAGAGAAAGGGGATAAAGGAGATAGTGGATGTGATGGTGAATCGGTAAGATATATAAAAATATATTCTTTACATGTTACATTTTTCATAATTTGGTTCTAATTATTATTTATTGAATTCTGATAAACTAATTAACTCAATCGGATAGAAATTCTCTTTAATACAACAGATTATTGATGAACCCAATTCCAAAGAAAGTACACTATTTATTTATTCTTTTCGTTTAGGGAGATAATGGTGAGCAAGGTGAACCTGGAGCCCCAGGTATAATAGGAACACCTGGTGAACCAGGAACTAAAGGTCCTAAGGGATACACTGGAGGCTCAAGACAAGGATTAATGGGTGAGAAGGTAATTCATTCACTTTTTCTGAATTAATAAAACGGTTATCTTTATCATTTTGTATTATATAGAACTATTTTAGAAATAAAATTCCATTAACTAATAAATTTTTGCATCGCATCAACAGTTGATTATACACTACGTGTCAGTACTTCTAAAATGAATATTGAATTAATAACTGGGCGAATTTTATACAACCAGATCCCTTGATAAATTTAAACAGAGCAAGAACAACAAGGTTTGCAGAATAAAATGAATTCATTCTATTTGACAGTTTCTCATTAGCTGCATATAACCTAAAATAACAATTATTTATTTTGTGAAGTTTAGATAAATGTTCAGCATGTAACCAGAATCATAATATCACTGATTGAAATCATGAGTCAATTGAAGCTAGACCACCATGGAGAACCTGGAAGCACTGGATGGCCGTTTCCTCCCTGTGCGGGACTCCTCAGCAGTGCACATCCACGATCCCGCACCCCGCGAGATTCGAGCCCAGGACCCAAAAGTCTCGCGCCAGGCGCTTAACCAACTAAACCACTGAGCAGGCATCCAACGGTGTTAATGTTTAACTTCAACCAATCTCCACAAAACCCCTTCTGAGAGACATAGTAGTCAGAAGAATAGAGATATAAAGTGTATGAATAAACATTGTCGAGATCGATGTGTATTTATATGTTGGGAGGCATTAATTAAGAGGTTATTTAAGGGTGATGAAATTAAGAAGTGATTAGGTAATCATTCAACATGATAAAATAGACAAATATGTGAACATTAGTCAGATTATGTAGGAGAGAAATATCAGAAGAATAATAAAAGGTTGGGTACAGGGTCGAAAAAATTGAGATTAGCAAGGGTTAGCAGACAAACGTCCGATCATCATGGCAGGGTAAGACTAATCAAACTTTCCTTCTGTTTACATAGGTCAGGTTGGCAAAGGTTTGATAGCGATCACCTCTTCAAAACGGAGTAAGATAGGTGTTTTTTGTCTGTTGGTTATTTTGAATGCATCACTTACATTCTATTCGTGTCCACTGTCGAGATGTCTGAGAATTGCACTTGTAAAGATTTTACTCCCTTTCAAACGTAGGTTCCTATGAACGTGTTGAGAAAACCTTGTAGAGACCCTTCTTCTCGTCCTTCCTATGTACTTGCTATGGCAGGTACAAGTGAATTCGTAGATACAATTGAAGGTGACGTCAGAAGGGTATTGATCTACCTTTGAATGGTATAAAGAACACCTGGTGTTGTATAGTGAAACTAAATGAGCAGCGGGGAAGGTTCAGTTTATCTCCGCTTTGACTCTATCGGTTCTTCCTGAAATCATATCTTCCTTGAACGGGAGGGAGATGAAAACAGGTTTCTTCCTAACAGTTGGTTGTTCATCATCCCTGGGATATTTTACGTATTTCGTAATAAACTTTTTCGGATATCCACTTTTTAGCCGTGAAAATGTCGGCCAAAATAGGCCCTAGTGGTGATCCTATGGTCACTCCATCGGTTTGTTTGTATAGTTGGTTGTTGAATTGGAAATGCATTCCCTTCATGCAAAGTAGTAATAATTTCCTCAGCTCATTTTCAGGCAAAGAAAGTAATTCAGATTGTTTGTAAATTATATTAATAGTTTCTTTTAATAGTATACTCGTTAATAATGAATATACATCAAAAGATACCATGAATTTATCTGATATATTCAATTGATCCGTTTCTTTGGAAAACTAAAACATGTCTTTTAAACCATTGGTCGCCAGTTTTCTATGAATGGATTATAATAATGTGGCTAGCTACCGAGCCAACTTATGATATAGTGAGTTCATAATAGACATTATGGGTTTGATGTGAAACTGTGGAAAAGAATAAATTCATTTTATTCTGCAAACCTTGTTATTCTTACTTTGTTTAAGCAAATTAGGTCTTTAATTTAAGAAACTTATAAATTATATATGAAAATGAGTCTTAAAATGTTCCCGAAATTCAACCCAGAAATTTATTGTAATATTTTTTCCATCTATTTTCAAAGAGGAACCCCGAATAAACTTGGTGATTAGGAATCTACAGTAAACTGTTTATTTGTTTTAGTATAACTGATAGTTAATTCATCAGTGCTTCCGGATACATTAAAACGAGTGTCGGGAAAGGTCAGGATCTTTACTTTCAACAAATATGGGTGCTCAGAGAAGGCTTATGAGCCTGCAAGTTTTGTATGGAATGATGAGATACTGGTTTTTGGGCCAAAAGTAATGGGTAAGAGAGAGAGACAGAGAAATTTTTATGGGAGTATTAGCTATGAAATCCTGGGATCACCACCAGATGAATCCCAGTAGGAGGATTTCCTAATTATGTTCTCACTGATCAGCAGTCAAAGTCAAAGTTTCAAAAGCTGTTGGATAGCGTTGTAATCTTGATCATAAATGATTTCACCTGGACATCTCAGTTTGCTCTATAATTTTCTTCGCGGGCTGTGCTAGGTAAACTCTCAAGTCTTTGGGCCCCAAAGGGAGCATTGTCAAGTACTGGAACTTAGAGTAGTTGATTAAAAGTTACCACTAAGAGCGGAGCTCAAGGTTCAATTCGATAATATACAGGGAATCTCATCCTGTTCGGATACTGTCAGGATTAACAACCTGATGGCTCTATCCTTTTCTCGACTGATGGAAGCTAAGAACCTACAAAGTCTCAGGAACAAATTCAGTGTTCCTAAAGCTACAGACACAATCTTTTGGTGCATGTTAATAAGTAGTACAAACATATTAAACAGCTTCTCATCGATTTTCTTTAGTAAAAATTTAACATCATTTTGTTTGCGAAAAAACAAACTGCATTGTCCTATCTTTTTGATATGTTTTCAAATGTAAATTAGCGAATCATTCTCACAGTTCACGAATGCAATATCCATGTTTACTTATCGTTATTAGTGAATATATATAATTAAATACTTTTTCTTGCTTATTTATAGGGAGATCCAGGTGACATTGGCGAACCTGGAGAAGATGTAAGTTACTATTACATACTCTGAGTTGGATCGCTCTTCGTTTGTTTAATGTTAAGTAAACCAATGCTTCTTGTAATATCGCCCTAATGTATTGATACCGTGATGTTAGTTGTGATAACACATTCTAATAACAAAACTTACGGCAGATACCCTATCTTATTTAGAAATCGCCATTTAGATATATCTGTACTATGAAGAACGATTTCATCACTGAAACTAAGAGATACTTATAGTGACTCTCAAGTGTAATGAGTAATGATCAAGATTTTAAAGCATTGGGCGTTGAGTTTGAGTCTTATGTAAAACATCAATGAATGTATATGGGACTAATGAACTGAAATTGAGCGGTAGGTGTATTAATTTCAATAGTTAGTTACCACCGCATGTAATCAAGATTTAAAGATATCATATTGATAATTACTTTTCGATTTTTCTGACATTTTATGTGTGCTATTGTCTTCTTCATCAATGTAAAGCGTTAGTAAATAATTCGTCGATAATTTTACATACAATATGGCCCTCAAATGCCCTGGTACGGCCGAGAGTGGGGAGAGTTCACACACACTCTCTCGAAATGCTCTCACATGGCCACGTGCATACGACCACTGTCAGGAAAATTCTACTCACTGCCTTCTCATGGCTGGGGTGTTGTTTACGGAATTGAAACGACGAATAGCGAATGTCCGACTCTCTAACAAGGTTGATGGACACAGAGGATCCATCTGAGGGAGTTAGTTGGAAAACCCTAATTCCAAATCAGTGGTGCACATGAACTCCATGATCCTAAGGAAACAAATACTATATAAACCTATTGTTGGTCACTGGCTAGCATGGGACTGCATCTCCAGATGTAACTCCACTGCTTTGTGGATTAGACGTTTAGATCGAAGGCTTGGTGTGTGGCTCTCTATGAGAACCATCTGCTTCAGTTTTGGCACCCAGGTTGTGATTTGTGTGGTGCATATATATTTGGTGCCTTCTTGTACCAATGTTTATGCGTTTAAATAATAAATAATAATAAATACATACAAGATAAAATTAACGTCATAGAAATACAGCATTTACTGATAGGTTCTATAACTTAACTTCAAACTCTAATCTATGTCATTTAAACACTAAATTATTCCCAAGTAGTAATTAATTTGAAAATAAATAATAATTAATTGAACAGTTTAGGAAAATAATAACTTTTCTATTATAATTCTAGTCTCGAATAATAATTTAGATACTAATTTAGATAATAAATCTTGATTTAGTACAGGTTGTGTGTAAGGTTTCATCCTTCTATGGAAATTGTCATTCTAGATTTTACGAAGTGATATGTTAAATCTGATACTGATTGTTACAAAGAAACATTAACTAAATATAGATATACAATTGATAAGACAGTTTGTTCAGACTACTTTCTTATTCATGGGTAATTAATTACAAAACTGTAGATTGCTACCTGTATGAATTACGTAACCAGTGGTAATCAGTTTCATATATATTAATTCTCACTATTCATTAAAATCTCCATATGTTTACTTGATCCACTGGGAAATAGGCCATCAATTTCATCAAATTAAATCTTTGATAAAATGTACTAAGGTTCCGTTACATTCATCTTTACCTGGTGATTGAAGGTCTAACTTCTTATATACACTGTCAGCCTTTGAAGCCCACTCAGTTAGATTTAAATCTATATGTTTAAAATAAATTCATAAAGACACTGAAATGGTTGAGAAGATTAGTAGCTCAGGTGGATGATTTTGATGCGGGTTTTTTCTCTGAGCTGGATGGTTTGGTCGTGGAGCTTTTATCATTTCTCTGAACGACCTCATCAGCACACTTTAGCTAGAAGAGTTTACCTTTTTTTACGTTGGTTAATTTCATGTCCAAATTAATCTACCCATAATTAAATCCACTAGGATGTAAAAACGATTTCCCCTATCCATTTATTTTTCATCTGCTATTATTCTTAAGTGATTGATATCTTAATAAATGAGCGTTTTGCTATTTCCCTTATTGTTCTAAATTAATAGTAAATCACAGATATTCTAATAATTAAACAGAAACCTAGTTTATTTTACATGATTCCGTACTAAACAATATATAATTTTCGTTAAAAGAAGAATAAAATCTCACCTTTAGATAGTTTTGAAATTAATATGACTTGCTGATAAACTTATTTCTATGTGAAATTAAAATCTATTTGACATTAAACAATTCTTCACCTGGTTGTATTTCGGTTATTGATAATCTAAAGTCAGGCGGTGGGTTATAATTAAATGACAAATACATTTGATGTATAAATGTCAATAGTAACCAAGAAAATGTTTAAAAATGACATTTGTATTTGTTTACAGTATAGCAACGCATCTGATATTCATAGATCGTTTTTTATTTCAAAAATACTAACAGTCATTTTTGTTAATAACTGATATTGAATGAAATACATTTTTAACGAAATATGTTGTTTCAATTAGCGTGAGTAAGAGGAATGCGTCATCTGGAATGTCTTCTACACTTTACATTCATCTACAATATCATTTGTTTTTGTTTTCTTATTCAGGGTTTGCCAGGACGTGATGGGGAAGATGGACTTCCTGGTCCACGTGGACCTCAAGGAGAATCAGTAAGTATTTATAGGGAATGGTAATTAAAGCACAGATAATTAGTTAGGCATGTATACGTAAGTGAATACCATTAATACGACAGCATCTACCCTAAAACATCACTTTGAATTACCATCTGTTTTGTACATAACCAGTGTATATAAAAAAAACCATTTTCGCAGTTACACATGGATTCCATCCCATTTTATTTCATTTTTTTCATTATCAAGCGTATTTTCATACTTTCATCTTTTTTCACTCACCTACAAATTGTTGTTTCTGATCAATCGATTTTATTGGCACTTCTGAATAAGACTGATTAAGTATTATGTAACAATAAATAAGGATTTGCCAACGATGTACGAACAACCTTATATGAGATTCATTCATTTTTTTAAACAAACATGATACTATCCAGGAACTGAGTTTCTGGATAAAGTTATGCACATTATCATCAAGATGAAAACCAGCAAACCAAATATTAAGTAAATTAGCCTTAACTAATAACAGTTATAAAGTAAACAGACTTCAGATGAATCAAATGTTCATAATCTTATCACAAAATTTCCAACAATAGTGATAAGAATACTGTAATCATTGAAATAATATCACTTATACTACGGTTTCTTTCTAAAAATGATGTAAATATTTTTCTAAAAGGCTCTTTTAGCCTTATATGTCCTTGTCTGTTATTTGAATTGAGATGTGCCAATTTGACATGGCAATATATATACTTGTTCACATTTTGTATTAATAAGTCAAAGTACGTACTGTACAACTATTAGTCATGAAAATAAAATTATCCCTTCATCTTATTCCATTGACATATATCAATATTTGACAACGTGGTTTAGTTAAGATGACTTTACCTATTATCCTATACAATCATATTACACTTATCAAAACTCTATCATAAAACTAATAATATAGTTTTTATCTCGTATATGCTCTTTAGATTATTCATTTCTATAATACTTCTCGGAAGAAAAAATGAATTATTGTATGGTTGTATATGTATTTTTATAAATCATTGGCTGAATTGTCTCCAGTTGAAATCTTTATAGTATTTAGGATTGTTTCGAGTACATTCAAACTACCATTTGTTTAGCGCAAAATGTATTGAGCAAAAAGAAGTAACACTCTATTTTATAACTGTGAAAACGGGCATCTTGACAAAGAAATTAACAATGATGATGTTACACGTAGAGAGATTCATTCAGTTAAATCGTACACTATAATTCTTCGGTGTAGCATATAAATGTTGTGCCGAATTCGCATCGTATTCCACCTAGACTCAAAATAGTAGGAGAAAAGCAAGTATGTTATTAAAACGTTCATTGATTAAGTCACTAATAGTCAGTTGAAGGAAACGTGAGTTTCATGAATGGGCTCTGCTGGACATGCTTAGACGATATTGTTGAAAAGCAGTTATAGTGGTAGAAATACATTCATTTTATATCATTATTGTAAGTATTGGTAAGATTTTCGTATTATATTTAGAAATTTCCTTCCTCGACTTGATGTATACCATATTTTTGTTCCTCATTACTTTCCTAATCATATTTTCATTATTTCCATGATTTCCGCAAACCGATTTTGTAACTTGAAAAAAATTTGTAATATGCTAATAATTGGACAGATCTACCAAACTGTAAGACAATACGTTACTAAGTCTAACCAAACTCCTAACCCATTGTTATAACTTGTGACTTGAGTGTCCTGCTAATGTATGACGTAATGATACCTCTAATTAAAGAGCAGTGGATTATCAACCAGACCGATGACGCATAAAACCCGTACGAGCAGTCTAGAGTCCTTATTGGTCCTGCTTTCCGCCTAGCCCAGCCAGTCAAGTCCAGAACACCAATCTCAGCCTCTGCGATATGAATTATTTATTCCAAACATACTCGGTTTATAAACCAACCAGACAGATCACATCGTACCATAAAATAGGAAACGACAGTTGTACAAGATTTAACCAAATGTGGCTGCGAATGAGGGAGGTAGTATTCGACAGACAGACCATAATTCAAGAATGGTAAATCGTATAATAACAGTTCATAGGTCAAAATAAAGCTCATGATAAGAGAGACAGGAATATGAACAGTTTAGTTATTTAACAATTATATGATAAAAATATACGCATATTATTGGTCCATCAATAGATACCATTCATTATGCTTATCGGGACATAACACCCATATAACTAAAAACTTCTTGTAATGTATTTTAATTAAGTGGTTATTTAGTAACTCATTATAATTTGAAGATAATTTCTATCATCAAACGTTAATTCAAAATATAAATTAGCTTCACATTTCATGAGGTAGACTTAACGATTCAAACTGTCGATTCATTCAAATGCATAAAAAGTTTCAATTATCAGTTCGTATTGTGTACTAAGTACTTAGATTTTCTATGCTAGGAATTACCATTGATCATTCTCTTTAACCGAATTTCGTTTTTCATCATAAATACAACCATTTGCATTTAAATTTTTTAACAATGTTTTTTTTAGTTTGGTGATCTATTGAGTTAGGTTCAGTTGGAAGGAAACTTTTCTTACCGTTTGAGTACGACTGAAATCAGGTAGTAATAGATCTATTCACAGTTGTGATTCCTCAATAATCAGCACTCATGATAATGGCTTCCTATTCCTCCTTAGATGATATCAGTCTTTATGAGAGGCTATCTTTAAACTCCATCTTGTAAAATTTTTTGACCGCTACGAACACATATTTATCAGTTATCCATCAGTTCATTCACAAATTTGTCAATTCCTCAGCTTTATATTGAACGTCAAAATATTACACATCCATTTTTACTATGAGGATAAAGTATAAATGCAAAAGTTCATATTTATTATATTTTATGTTATAGGGAGCAGTAGGTTTGATGGGAGACATTGGTCCTAAAGGTGAAAGTGGAGTATACAATTATACGAATATAATTCCTGGAGATCGTGGTGAACCAGGTCCTCGAGGACAAGATGGTCAACCATGTGAAGATATGGACCGTGAATATACTGAAGAAGAACTTATCAGTTTTACAAGAGGTCAAGCTGGAGACATAGTAAGTCAGTCAAATACTAGGCATAGATGGGTTGTAAATTATTGACTCTAATAAGGCTTAGTGACTAGTTTCTGTAGCACGTTTTCTTTCAGTTAGTTTCTCTCTAATTCTTGTATTTATAAGACAATAACTATTAACTGAAAGTTAGGTTATATTATTTTAATTATAAGGTGGTATTCTAGTTTTTCAAAATGTCCGTTTCAGTAAATTCCACATGTGGAGCACTTGTTGCTATTTAATTACAAAAACAAAGTAGTTTAATTTAATAAAATTTTGAAAGGTTTGAATATCAATAGAAGTCCAGGTACATCTAGCTGATGAATCTCAAATTGGTCAAAATGTACATCCTGAATGGGATTGCTAGCCACAATCCAAATGTATGTTAAAATATGTAACAGGAAATGAATATCATGGCATTCTTTTAGGGTGAATATACATTAACAAAAAATAATCAAATTCTGATCTTGGATACCAAAAGTTGGGTAATACAAACACTAAAGAACTTCAGTTTTAAAATACGAAATTTACTTGCCCTCAATTTTTCGGGGGGAATCAGCGATGGATGGTATTTTATTGTCTAAGTGTTCCAGAACTTGTTCTGTCAGTGTATTGATTTACTTAAATACATGAACACTGGTACAAGGTGGGCACCAAATATATATGCACCATACAATAAAAATGAAATTGTGAGGAAATAGAGAATTGAAGGTGAGTATAGTGAAAAAATGAATAGAAATTAGTGTATCTTCCACTTGACTCTATATATTACACCCAAACCGAGGTCGTTTAAACGACGGTGGTAACAAGAAGTCAAATACGGATTAAGTTGGATGAACTGATTTTAGATATTCGTTCAGCTATACAGACATGAAGATGAGAAGTAGGAAAGCAAAACGAAGAAGAGATGTAGATTGTGCCAACTGCATTTGACAAAGCGTGACTCATTACATATAGTCATACAGAAAACTAAACTAAAAACATATGATGAGTGAAGTAAGCATACACTCATGTAAAAACAGTTAAGGTTATAAACGAGTGATTGACAAGGTCTGGGCGTGTGTTGGTAATGTACGAAGAAGAAAAATTAAATGGTCTATTCAAAAACCAGAATAATTGATGTAGGCTTGACTGGAAGTAGATGCTATAACTAAACAACTGATTAACTAAACGGTCGATAATTTGTAGTCTCGACACCTGAAAAGAGCATCAGCTCTCTTTTAGATCCAGATTGTCTTAAAGCCTTAGCATAGAGCTTCCTACTACTTCTTAATTATGTTCATTATTTATAAATATATATAAAAACTGTTCATATTGTTTTTAATGTTTGTTTTCATGTAGGGTTCACCAGGACCTAAAGGTGACAGTGGAGAGTCAGGTGATAAGGGTGATATGGTAAGCTCATTTTATTATAATGTTAAGGAAAATACCAATTATTAAAAAAAACTCTTTCTATAATTTAACTTATAAATCCAATGTATTAATAATATGGTCGATTTAAATCAAGTATTTTAGCAACTGAACAGAACCTTAGAATGTGGTCCAAATTGTAAGATTCAAAAAGTAAACCCAGAAATTATTCAGAATAGAATGTCTCATTCACCTTTTTTGTCATTCATTTATACAGTATTTTTACAACAGAATAAAGAACTGGATGTATGAAGCTAAATCACTTCGAGTAAATAACTGAGGAGATTTACTTGTTACTACGATCTAAAGTGACTAATCATTCCTGCCTATTTGTTGATTAATGAATGATGAGTAAGCTGTAGTCATCCATCTTTCAGACAAACTAGTTAATAACCTGAATTTTCTTTCAATATTACATGATCCTTTACTCAGATAATTGGTAACTAGTTATTTCAAGGAATCGGTTCAGTGAATCAAATCGACACGTCAGTCACCATCCCCGTAGTCGTTTTAGAATCTTATTGAATAAATTACATCATTTTAACAAATAAATTATTGATGAGTTTTTCGAATTACTCTATTATATTTATAAGATGGTTTATATTTTTACTAGATTATTTATATTTTTATAATAAATAAAATAGGGTTTACAAGGTGAAGAAGGACCAATTGGTGAAAAAGGTGAACCTGGTGAACCCGGACTAGATGTAAGTTTATTTAGAGCTATTAATTTATTTAGGAGAAAATGATTGCTAACAAAAATATTACGATATTTGTTGCTCTATACCAATTATTTCATGAGTCAGGAAAGTATCATCTATATTAAAAAAAGACGGTTATAATCAATGGCGTGGGATGGTTACGAATGTATTGAAGTTGAATATTTGATCCATTGAATTCTAACACAGTGGTGAAACGGTTCGATGGACACCACAAAACCATGAGGGTTTTTAGTTTGATTCCTAGTTGAGTTGTGAGTCTTCATTGCTGATTCCCACATTATGATGAAGCAGCAATTCAGTGTTCACTGACCTTTAATTGCATCACAAATAATACCAGTCCATGATGCGAACCACCCATATGTTAAACCAAATGGTTCTACATCGTCGTGTACATGTAATGATCATATTTTGTAAGCCATCAACTTTAAGTCATGTTCTAAATAAATTACTACCAGTTTATTGTTACGGAAACACTAGTTAACACAAGATTTAATTTCGAAACAACTTAAAAAAAGAAAACGACTGCATTCAAGTTTTTAAGCAAAACTGATAGAAGCCCTACAAGTTAAATCAAAAATTTCTAAGAAATTTTCATTGTTCATTTATTCATTAAAAAAGCTTATTTCATCATAGAGTTATAAAAATTTCACTGTTTATTACTTTCTTCAACAATCTAAATTCATAAACTCTTGAATTCAAATTGTCCTTCTATAAATGACCATCCCAAGACATAAAAAGTTGTGTTCATTTGCATTTTCTAGATCTATGATCCTGTGAAAATCCAATCATAAATATTTCATCAGAAGTGTTTTTTTATTTGTTTTCTTAAGAGAAAATGGGTTTAAGAAATAAGATTGTTCTTTGGTTATGTATGAACATGTTATTGAAGATTAATAAAAGCATCATGTATATATCTACGACTTAAATCTAGTAAAGAAATAACCAAGTATTATACAATGTGATCTCATAGCGTTTTATAGAGATAATGATTTATTTAAGTAACAAAATTTAAAAATTATAAATCCTAACATTATTTACCCTTAAAGGAAATGATTAGCATAAATAACACGGTGAATGTTTTTTTTCTTTTTTGTTTATAATATATAATCAAATAGTATTATGATAATCCTTCATGTCATTTCTTTCTTTTATGGTACAAGGGTGATCCTGGAGAAGATGGTGATGTGGGACCGATTGGACAACCAGTAGGTGTATTTGTGTATCAGTTAAAAGAAATTATCTACAAAATATATTTCTAGATTCTATCATAAATACTTACAGTTATTCAAATGCTTTAGAAACACAAGAAAAGTTTTCAATTGTATTACTACATATTGTAAAAGATGACAATACAGGATTTTATTTATTTATAGTGATGGAATTAATTCATTCACTCTTTTGCTAATTTATTCAGAAGTAAACAAACTAACTATTCTATGTACTAGATTGTTTTGTATAATTACAAATAAATATTAATGAAGAATAGTTCAATGAAAATGATCATTTATTTAGGAGTGGCAGGCTTCAAAATGAAATCATAGAGTTCTGACAATAAGCCTAACAGTTTCACTTCACATAAACTGTCAGTCATTGGGATATCATTGATGATGTTGGATGATAATCGTGAAGTTGGGTTCCAGCTTGATGATTTAAATACAACAAGATCATCCCATGACATGAATGTTGCGGATTTAATTTGGTGTAGGCTCGTGAGTACATATTGTTCTGAGGTCCTAAATTAAGATGAAACAGCTATAGAGTTCTCATTGGTTTTAATGATTCTTCAAATGATGTCAGACCATGACGAAAATAATTTTCAAATTAAAGTGATTTTTATCAGATATCGTATAGTTTGATTAATGAGTAAACAGTGTCAGTGCTCGTCACTGTATGAATTGAAAGAAAGTTCTCATATACTTAGTACTAAAACTATGTTGCATTAATTAAGGTGATGGTAAATAGTGAATGTGGTCCATTAGTTGCATTGTTTTTCCTAAATGCATATTAACTTTAACAGATTCTGATCTCCTTGTAGTAACTATAACATTATCCGATTTAACCCTTATATAATACGTGCACCAGTGTTTTTACTTCTTCTTTATGGTTACTATCAATAATTTTTTCTTAACTACTCCTATCATATGGTCTTCATTTCAACTTTCAGATTAACTGTTCACAATTACTTTTTGTGTTTTAGTCACTGAATATTTTCAACTTTTCATACTCTCCTTTCACATAAGCACTATTCACTTAAAAGGTGAAGATTTGTAGCTCAGGACTTTCACAAAAGAAGGAATGTTTGAGTGAACATTCAATTTCAGTTCATTTTCTATGATCATAACTTAATCAAAATTGTGTTCGATTGAATCATTCAGTGTTACTTACTGATGTAGTGAGTCTATCTTTTGACAAGTGGAAGTCAGTATAGAGAATCATCAGACCAAACAGGGGAACTAAATGTACTACCTTGAACATAAGAATACTATTTCTTGAAGTTAGATATATCTATGGCGTTTTTCGTTTAGAAGAGATAATAATGATGACTTGTTGGAATTATACGAAACATTTTTAAACTATAGAATGGTTCCACCATTTTAATTCCACAGTACTTTCCAACCAGATAATAAAGAATGGTATTATTTCGAGATCTAGTCAATGATTTTTTCCAAACACTCATGCGAGTGTTCATCAGAATAAGGTTTTTAGAATAGGGATTGTGTGAAATATTTAATAAACAATAAACTTCTTAATTCCCATGATACTATTGCTATTATTACTATTCACTGGAAATGGTATTTTCCAATTTTACATTACATTCCCACGTTTTCATTGTACTGATTACAATCCACCAATTTATATCATTCTTCCAAATGCATATGGTTAAAATAGATAAATATATATACTAAGTACTATATCTTGTTTATATAACTTTTTAACTTGATTAGGCATTAGTTTTAAAATTCTAAGAATTTCACCACTATTTATGGAGATGTATATATGTGGAGGAGCAGTTGTGATTTACATATACAGCTGATTAAAGGCATATAAATTACAGTAGTTAATCAAGGATTCAGTAGATATGTAATTCGCCATTTTCCAACTTTCAAACATTAGATCTGTTTAGCCTGAGCACCCAACAACATAAACTGATTCATTATCAGTTAGTTAATTCAGCACTTACCATCAGAGAATGTAATAAGAAGTGCGTCATTTAACCCTTTTATCCACCTATTCACTATACCATCAGATAATATCGAAATACATTGAGATCAAATCAGTTTGTAATTTTATCAGTATTGATCTTTGATTTAAGTTTGACCCCTATTCAATATGTTATCTTTAATTCTTCATTTGATTTTGTTTACTTTTCTGAAAAAAAACGAGTTTTCCTGGTTTCGTTAAATAATTTTCTGTATAAAATTACCCCTAAGCCCTGTATAATATATCCGAGTTAATGTAAACAAAATTAAAGAGTAACTAGCGCTAACAATAATAATAATATTATTATCATCAATAACTTTCGCAATACATCTGGCACATGAAAAATAAACTGACACAGTAACTATCGCGGTGAAAAAGTGGAGAGCGTGATATACTTATGACAGGTGCCAGTCATAAAACAGTACCTCAAAGGAATAGATATAGTTAAACAGATATAGATAAGAATTCAAGCTAAAGACAGTTTATCTGTCAGTAACTTTATTTATTTTCATATTGTTCATTGAAATCTATTTTGTTTTATGTTGTGATAATTTGAAATTTTTAATCTTTGTATTATTATTTTGTTTCATCTTGTTTAAAAAAGGGTAATTTAGGTTCTGATGGTCCACCTGGACCAGAAGGTACAATTGGTGATAAAGGTGATCGAGGTCCACATGGTCGTGATGGTTTACAAGGTGATCCAGGCCAAGCTGGAATCCCTGGGGTATGTCCTCGAATCATCTGATTACTTTTAGATTTTTGATTAACTAAATTGATATATAGTAATTATTTTTATCCTCATAATATCAATAAAATTGAAATAAATTTGAATATACCCGTAAAATAATTCTCAATCAAAAGTCGTAAGCAAGTTGTGTTTGGGAAAACAGTCGCGTTCAGTTACTTTCTTCCTAGAATATATAGTTATAACATGTATATAAATATACTGCAGTCGTTAATATACTGGATTTATAAATATGGAAAATGACCCATTGTGTCATCGAAGAAGAATAAAAACAATTCAACGAAGAGAATCTTCTTTTTGATAATTTCATTTACATAAGCTGAACAACCGTATTCATAGTTAATTTATTTTCTAAAAATAGAAGTCTATGATAAAATAACTTGATGTGATGTCATGTAAAGAGTTGCATGAAAAAATCAGATATTGAAAGGAAGTTACTTAATTACTGGCTAATGGAAAAATTATTGAAGTGAAGATAATTGTCCACTTGATAGATTATGGTAGATAGAAAGGGAGGTTAATATTATGGCAAAATGAGGAATTGGAAATACTATTATATATACATAGGTTAGGCTTGAATTAGTCTTTAAATACACAAATGTTATATTAAAAATACTCGTTGTTAAGCTTAGACGAGGCAAAAAAATTAAAGAATTAACAGTTGCTATAGTGTTGGTAACTTGGAATTTAATTTGGTGTTTGCGATTTGTTTGGTCTGAAGAGTTTTGGATTTCTGACTGGGATCCACTGGGGAACTATCGTGATTTGAAATTTGCATAAAATTAACATCCATGTATACAAGCCTAAACTTATGTACATTCTAAACTTAACAGGTGAATAATGTCTAAAAATGACTGGTTCGTCGTTTTACGACAATTTGTTTGGGTACTTAAACTACCAAGCCTATGACTTGATTTGTTACTTACTATGACATGTTCAGCCATAATTGAGAAACTAGCGGTTTAAACATGAAATACACAAATTATTTGTAAGAAAGTAAAAGACCTTCCTGTCTTACTCGTTCTAGTTTCTCAAAAATAGTCTGAAGTTTAACAATTTTACTATAAAATTAAGTCTTCATCATTTCAAATGATTATTCATGTGCCTAGTTATTGTACATAGTTAATGACTGTCAATCGTAATTTATGATTTACAGTTTTCACAAAGTATGCACAAACAAGAAACATAATATTAAATTTACTTCCAGATTAATCGGTTGTCCAAGATAATTCAGATTTGAGTTGTGAGACATTTCATTTGTGAACCCATATGAAAATAGGTATGTACCCAAGAACAATGTTTTAAAAACAAATCTTATGTTCAATCATTATGCTTTACTCCAATGGATCAGGTGAATTATTAGGTGCATATTGAAGTAAAGCGAATGCAGAACATTATTTGAAATTTGAATACATAAATTGTTATTCTAAAATAATCCAATAATTTACTTCTCTGTACTTTTTTTCAATCAGTTTTTGATAAGTTGATAATTGAACTGTTTCTCCTGCAATTTCTTTATTCATTTAAATTGATTGTTTTTCAATTGTGTATCCGTTTATTTCCTTTTTTTAAGAAAGCTACTTGTCCAATCGAGTTTTTCCCAAAAGGTGAGAAAGGTCTCCCAGGTCATCCTGGTGATAAGGGAACTCAAGGAGAACCTGGCTTACCAGGTGATCAGGGAGAAAAAGGTGTCCCAGGCGATGAAGGTCCAAAAGGAGTAAGAGGAAGTCAAGGTAAAATTTGTGAGCCTGGTCCACAAGGTCCTGTAGGTGTTAAGGGTTGGTATGGTAAGTTAGTCTTATGAATTCATCAATGTAAATTTTGCAAATTTCTATGTACAGCTTTACTTGATATTAAGTTATTCATCATAAATGTTAGTGAAGTATATGACTACTGTAAGCTACAATAATTATAAGCTCTTTATTTTACAGGAAAAAATGGGGCACAAGGACAACCTGGAATTGATGGAGATCCAGGACAACCAGGCCAAAGAGGATTACCTGGAGATGATGGTTTTGGTCATTTAGGTGAAATTGGTGAGGTTGGTGTGGAAGGTTTACGTGGTATTAAAGGTGAGTGAAAATAACGTCATTACAAGAACTATTTAATAGACGGTAACGTTTTAATCATTTTTTAAAACCTCTGTCTTCATTGAAGTCATCCAAGCTTCAAATCAGAGTGCTTGCTTTATAGGATTACTGAAATTCCTGTTGATAATACTTAACTATTTTGTTTGAAATAATACGTAACTTTTTGAAATTTGCATAAAGTGCTCTATAAAGTTCCATCGAATCCTTTCTATTTTATTTGAGATAAATACTGAATAGTATTATTACTGTACATGCAGTATGAGTTTGGTATTAAGGGTTATTTAGTTATTTTCAATGATTCATTAAGAGTAGAGACTGATGAATATAAAGTTGCCTTTACAAATCGGTTAATTACTCAGGCTCATTACACCCAGAAATGGTTGTCTAGTGATAAAATGAAAATGAAAGAAGTTCGTTTGAATATAGTTTGGTGGCCAGGACAAATAGATAGATCTTGCAAAGATTTTCTGAATGTAAAGGTTAAGTTTATTTAAGCGAATTCCAATGGCCTCTGATTTACGTAGGTGGTGACACTTGAAAACATAAAAGAAGTTGGATGTGATTCGATATACTATTCTAAATGCTATATTTGCATTAACTTAGCAACTTTTGTCAACTAGATGTTTGAGGATGAAGATTTTTGTTGTTCTACTTTGTCCTTTGCTCAGCCATTTAGGGTAATGTTTCGAGACACTGTAATGAATTTGTCTTGTTGGTCTTATTACATAATTGTTATTATGTCACTAAGGTGAATCTGGTGAAGAAGGTGATCCTGGCGAAAAAGGATTTGGTGGAGATAGTAATATCGGTCCAGTTGGTCCTCGTGGTGAACCTGGTGATGATGGAAGTGATGGAGAACCTGGAAAACACGGCGAACCTGGACCTCCAGGTCCCAAAGGTATGCTTTATGATTTATGTTTATCCTGAAAGTTGCTTATTAGTAAAGTAGAAAAATAAAGAACATTTGTCAAATCACGTTGCAAAATGAATTGAACAATTGCTCTTTTTCAAAGATCTGAAAGTGATCTAAATTATAAATTTCAAATAAACTAGAGAATAGTAGAAAACCAAGAAGTACTAGATAATTGTATTATCTAGGTTTATTAGTTCTAATAGGTATGGACATATAGCAACACACTGAATATTATAACTGACATGATAACATTCAATAAATGAATAGGAATCCACTGGTCTACATTTCCAAATTCTGTTAGCTGTGATACAGCGATATCTTTATTCAGCTTCAACAGTGAATGATTATTTTACTCCTGATTTGATAGACTCCATATACTTTAATAGAACTACGGAAAATCATTATGAACTATCGATTATTAATTATCTTAAATTTAATATCATTCACCGAGAAGTGTGGTACTTAATCATAGGAAACAGATGAACCGAAAGGTAATTATATGGAAACATTCTTTTAAGGGAATCATAAAGAAGTATGATAGACAATAATCTAATGATAACATTCCTAATTTTGGTGTTCAGTACAATGGACTAACAGTACAAGATGAACTTACTTTTCCTTTCAAAGTTCACTAAGCATTTCGAATTTTTGAACCTAATCATTTACAAAAACCTGGTTAAAATGTTCGATTACCACTAATGATTAAACAGCATGTGTTCGGTCTGTGCTTAGTGATCATTTAGTGTTTAAATATATTATTAGTCACTCGTTTAGTTCAATTATACTCAGCGACTCGGGCTTAAAAGTCACAGTAATACCAATAACTTCATGAATGAAAATAAGCCTTGTTGATAAGTTTAAAGTACCACAACATCTACCTACATTCAAGGAGTTCTGAATATTTTATTTAATTTATTTTTGGATGAACTATTTTCATAACAAGTTTAGTAATTTAAATTTTATACAAGGAAGTAGATGTATATATAGGCAAAAGAGATAGATACATAAGGCAGAATTGTTTAGAAGTCAGAATAATTATTAAAACCATGCACTAAATTATCTACTTAATCTTTAAAAGAAACATAAAATTTAACCATATTGATAAACTGAGGATATTATACTTATCTGTTCAATTAAATTGATAATAATGATAATCTTACAATTTTATTTCTTTTCTTCTAGGTGAACCGTTAACTGCTTGTCCTTTGTGTAAAGACGGTGATGCTGGTGCACGTGGAGAAATAGGGGATCCAGGTGAAAATGGTGAAAAAGGAAGTGATGGTATGCCAGGTGATAGAGGTGATATGGGTCGACTAGGTGAAGATGGTTTAATCGGTCTACCGGGAACCAAAGGTGAAAAAGTAAGTTATCTCTTTACACCAACTCATTCCTCTGTAATGTTATAACATCACGAACATCAATTTGATCTATTTTATATCATAATATACTTAGTAAAATGTTGGGTGGTTAAATGAAATCTACTATAAAGCCTGGATCTATATATTTTATTGATTAGCACTCAGTACTAGAGTGCTTCTTCATTCTTAACACGAAGTGGTACTTCCCCTCCTGAGTGGATGTATATCTTTTTGGTGGTGTTTTGTTCTCTGAGCTGGATGGTTTGGTCGACCAGCTCAGAGAACAAAACACCACAAAAATCATCCACCTGAGCTACAAATCTTCTCCACCATCTCAAAATCATATGGATTTATATCACTCAGCATCAAAATCAGAGTTGTTGTTGAGCTATTTAATTATTGACTGGCCTATTATGACCATCAATAACAGTATAATTCACAAAAAAGAAGCAATTACAACAAATCACATTATCTTATTTCAATGTTATGGATGCAACTGTCAAAATAAAAATAATTCTTTCTCACAGTAAATAAAAAAAAGGTTTATTATTCTTCATTAAATAATAGTCATAATTACATGTAATTCATCATTTTTTTAAAAAAAAGCAAAACAGAAAAACAAAATAGATTGAAATGATTCACTGTTGTTTGGATCAAAGAGAAGAAATTCATAATTTACAATCATGATCAGATAAATGTAACGATAGTTTTGTCAATCAAATTACCTACCGCAATAATAATCATAATAATGGAAAACATTTATAATAAAACAAATGGAAGTATAATTTGAAACGTGTAAGAAATTACGACTATAATGAAAATGAAATTTATCGCAAAAGTTTGATAAATTTCTAAGGGTAATGCCTTATGCAAACTGATAACAAATTTTGAGAGCATTCCATAAAATCGTCTTGGAAGTTATAATCAACTTTTCACTTATAACTAATTTAGTGATGAAACCTTTGAAGATGTTTTGGAGTCTGTATAGTTAGTTAAGTCGAGGATGGTGCAAGGTGACATTGAATGAAGATAATTATGTAGACATCTGTTCTCATTCATAACCTGATTGACTTCACAAGTCTTTTTCAGTCCAATTTCTAGGAATTATTTTTAAAACAATTTATTAAAGAATTTGTAGATCATCAATGTAGGTGATTTATGTGGATGATCGACGGTATAATCGAGTTGGAAGAGGATAGTGTAAGTTCATGGATTACGTCAAATTCACAACTCGTGGTCAGTATCTAACGTAGATTACCCTTTCGTGTTATCCGTATACTGTGGCTTCTTTGATGGCTCTATATAACAAACAAGATAATAATGGATAACCATATTTATACGAACAGATCAGAGAAATACAATGTAGAATCATTACCACGAGAACCAGCCTATGGGGTGCTATTAATTGATCCTCGTTAATCATCCCTGACCTTGGCGATGGTCGATAAACTGTCTAGAGTTCGATGATCTGTCGTGTAGCGTAGAAAAGGTTCAGTTTGATATTCGATAAGGCTATGGCTCAATGAGATCTTGCTGGCCTTGCAAGTTATGTGTCGATTATGATCAATGGTGATGCTTCCTAGAGATTAAATGCTCTCCGCTAAACCGATAACCTTGGTTTCGAGCTCTGGCTGGTTCATTGATGCCCACTTCTGATGAATCATATATCAAGAGGAAATAGCTTCTCATTGCTTCCTTGTTTTCAATACCTGTCCAACTTTAATCAGTCCTAAATGTAAATGATAGATATCAGTTTAGTTTTTTTATTTGCTAAATTACGTAAGCATTTTGTATGTACTTAGTATGAATTCAGGAATAATTAACGATGGAAATTTGTTTAATTCTAGTTTGTCATACTGTAAAAGTGTATCTTTCCAATCCCACACAAACTGCTAAACAGTAGGCTTGAATTTCTGTTGATAAACAAACTTGTTTTACAATACATGATACTTATAATGTACAAATATATTCACTTATTCAACTATTTTGTGAATAAATAGCATCCAGAAATAAAACATTTATTACTCATTATTATAGATGAGTCATAATAGACATATCATTAATCAGTTTTTATTGACCTTTTCCTTACATATTATAAAATCATGTATTAGAAACTACATACAATTACATCGTTTTAAGCACTTATCTTACCTTTTACCTAGTAAAATGATTAATGGTTTCCCTATATGTATCACCATTTGTAAGTTATTAAAACTCCAACGTTCGTTTATGCGAAATGCTGTCAGAAGAAGCTATAGTCTTTAGTATTCATTCGTTTATGATAGTGTTCATATTACTTCTGGCAGATCTGATTGAAAGATTCGTCTGATTGAATAAGTTATATATCTACACAAAAGGATGTTCTTCTTCAAAAGAACGATGTGGTACGTGCCCAGACTGACTACATGTGTGGTAATTTTGAACACATACAAATAGATTTTAAGTGATTAAAAGTAAACAATATGAAAATTTTGACCTACGTTCCATGTTTTCTCTCATGTTTGTTTTCTAAAATTGATGGTTAAATTTATAAGTTCTATTATTTTGTCCTCTAGTACTGCATAATGAGTTCCTCTGATGGAAAAAAAATACAAAGTCGATACTAAGTTAAGTGACCTAATATAGTGATTGAAAGTGACTGAGGAGAATATCTGGGCACAGATTTTGAACCGATTGACTCTTGTTGATCAAATGTGTCTGGATTGTGGAGGCAAGTGAGAGAAAACACATTATCCATTTGTATTGAATATAGTTTCATGTAATAAATTTCATTTTCATTTATTCGCCTAATTGAATCTAAAGACTGATGTATAGGGTCCGTTTTAGTTCTAATGCTTTATTTTTTACATAGAACCACTCTAATCAATGTTTTTTAGTTCTACATGTTTATAGTATATCATTGAACAAATCAACACACGTTCTAAATATTTCATGATTAAAATACTCAAATAAATTGTTTTAAGCTAAAGTTACCTTCATCAATGTTGAATAATAATTAATAAAATATCCTTGATGTCAGTAAATGACCAAATTTTAATTTGATGGGTAAAAATTTGATTCCTACAAATATTCACGTATGAAATTGTAGGGTCGTATTGGTGAAGATGGTTTTAATGGTGATCCCGGTGAACCTGGGGAATCTGCTATTGTATCTCGGGTTGTAGAAGATGTTATTCCAGGCGATGAAGGTGATGAAGGTCATGAAGGTAGTATTGGTGATATTGGCGATAGAGGCGATGAAGGAGAACCTGGCCCTGTTGGTGATGAGGGTCCTAAAGGACAACAAGTAAGAAACCTTCCCTTCAGTTAATTTACTAAACAAATTGTTTAGATTATGATGACATAATGAACTAATATTGCCGGTAATAATCACTTCTCAAAAGAGTAATCAAAAATGAAAAATTATTTATCTTCACTTTAATAAATATTGTAAACTCTTAACGCACTTTGTAACAATTTCCGAAAAGTAATTCATATTATTCGAAGACATATTTAAAGTTGAATAGTTCACATTGAAGTATTTGGTTGTGATCTGATAATCTTAGCTATAAAAATGAAAATTCAATATTATACTAAAACTGTGATCGAGTATAAATCACACGAAAATACGGTCATTTAAAATTCTTGGATATCTGTATCACGAGTTCGTATGTCAGCAAAATATCGTCAATTTTGTTTAGAAATGGTCAATTGCAAGTAGGTTTGAACTTATACTAATTAAATCAGTTGATTAATAAAGTCAAAAATCTCAAAATGATATGGTTTCGAATAGATGAGTAGAATACCTTGGATACTACCTGGTAGTTAGGTACTGTTAACTTATGTGCTCCAAAAAGAATGAAACTTGATTTTCGATCTAACTACTACCATATATGAATGTGAAATGTAAAAGAGACGGTAGTTTGCGTAAAACATTACTGATAAATATGTATGAGCTTTTAATAATGATGCTCAGTGTCTATATGAAGAAAAATAGACTTATTGATCAGAAGTCCCGAATTTTAACCAAATGATCTCAGGTCTAAACTCTGCTTATTCTTTTTTGATTTGGGCGAACTAGTCGTATCACCAGCCATCACGAAAAAAGAATGTACTTTGTAATTCATCAAACTAAATAACAGTAACACTTTGTTGCGTTTTATTCAAACGTTTTATACTCTTATTAACTTCCCTACTATTAAAGAGTATCAAAATAGAATAGAGACATCCATTCACTGCTTATCAATATTCATTTATTTTCATGTCAATTTCAGTTTGCGACAGAGTCACCCCTATCTGTAAACTTATTTCTTAGGAAATAGCACTAATCACATTTTTTCACATCTTAATCGTTGTATTTTACAATCTGTTCTCAGTTGTAGATCAGTTTTCATGTTGTTATTCTATGTTCTGTATACTGACATAGTTTGTATGTCTCATTCGAAAATATGGTAATTAATTCGGTTCCAATAATTACTTTAAGACTATAGCATAATAACTATTATTTTCTATAAAATCATTACAGGGTACAGATGGTGAACAAGGACCAATTGGTGAAGTTGGAGATGACGGTGACGATGGTGAAACAGGTGAAGATGGTGTCGATGTCAAAGGTATGGTTGGTGAATTGGGTGAAAGGGGTGATGAGGGTTCAGTCGGTGAGAAAGGTGAAAAAGGCATAGCTGGAGTGATGACCAACTGTACAATTGATTGGAGACAATTAGTAGCAAAAAATGAATCTGGTAATAGAAAAAAACGATTGAAATTTTTAAATACATCTGTAATTTATAGACAAATTGAGATTTTAACTGGGTTTTTTTTAATGACGTTGTTTCCAGCAAATAAAAATCTATTAATGTCATCTGCTTAGAATATTGGCTATATGGTGTTTCAATCTAAGATGCTTACATTTTACTCTGCCTTCCTACAATAAAACATAGTTTTCCAGTTTTCCTCCAACACGTATATTTATTGCATTTATTGACGTTTTCAGGTAACCATTCTGTAATTATAGAAACTAACAATAAAATAAGACATCCTATCTAAACTGCTTACGCTTATTAGTGTGAATTCTATATGGTTATCAATGAAAAGTTATTAATTTAAAGCATTCACAGTGGTTCTTATTAATTCTAGTTTACTCTCGAAAAACAGTTCATTAATGCCCCAGATTCAGTTATTTTTGAAGTCAGGAATCAGTTAACAATAAACAAGTTAAGATATGACATGAAAATTCATCAACTTAAGGTCGTTATACTTCGAATCAGCACAAAATTATGTAGTCTGATAAGAATGAGCATAATCGAATAATAAAATCTATGAGATAGTGTTGAAATTCACTATTCAGTGGACGACGAAGAATGAATATATTTCCTCAATTAAAAGTGATTTTAAGTTATTCCATTTACGCTCACTATCCCTTAATGAAGATTATCACGCAGACCACAGTCAAGTAGTCTCCACCTCCTGACACAACTCCATCCAAAGGTCAGTAACTTCAAACAATTATATGTCTTAGGACTGATGAGACTTCTAAAATGTGTAAAATGATCAATTTATACAGAACGGAACCTATTATTTCTTAGCTACTGGTTACGATTCTGTTCAGAGTTAGAGTTCCCTTCAACTGTAGTAAATATACCAATCTTAATATAGAATCTAAAGGCCAAATTTATCTTGTGTGTGAGGGACGAAATGAAATAGTTCAATATTAACTGATTCCTAAACAATAATCTTTGAATTCCAGACTTACCTCTTGTCCCAATTCAACTACATGCTGTCTGAAAATCAAGTGATTTGTTATTCCAAAAATAAATTACAAAGTTCCTTATACTTAGCGAGTGAATAAATGTAAAACCATTCATATGATTTCTGTATTATATTTGTATTAATATTTACTGGATTAAAGCACCAAAATATTTATTCCACACGAATACAATTGTATATTGTAGTCTGTTATGGAAAGGTTGAGTTTCCATTCTTAACTGTGTGTACACTTCGACTAAATAACCGCTGACACATTAATAGACTAATAGCGCAATATATTCAGAAGTTAAGATGAAGTGTGTTAGAAACAGTTTATTTGGAACGTTCAGGTGACGCAAAAAGAAAGTGAGCGAATTAATGAATACTAATTATGTATGTAAGGGAGAATAAGTTATTAAACGTTCAAAGCAGTCAATGTCCTAGATGGTCAGAGAGATAAGTGTTGGCTGAAACCCATGCATTCGATCATACATAATCACTTCTACAAGAATGCATGTACATACAGAAGTATGGGTGAATTATTACGGACTAAAAATGTCCATACGATGAGTAGGTTCACTGAGAGGTATAGTCAATTTGAACATGTACAAGCTTATGGATATGTAGATATGGTCACTTATAAACCTACTTCACTCAATAATAAACGGTAACTTACATTATTACACTAACACAACGGATATTTCTTGAAAAAGAAGACAACGCAACTTCTCAAAATTTAACAGATTGACATAAATACTTCCATAAAAAAGCAATAAGGCAAGAGATAGTTTGATTTATTAAATAAATTTCAAGTAGTGACAATTACCTACCATAGTTTCATTTTATTTTTTCCAGACAAAATATTCTCCCGTAATCTCAGCATTTTTTCCTAAACTAAAGACCTAACTTAAAATGGTTACAGTCATGTTTTATCTTAGAGTGGTGAGAGATTTGAGGAATTATTTTAATCATTACAGTTGGACTTTATTTCAGTTGAACTAAACATCTTATTCATTCAAATTTTAAGTTAATTCACTCGAATAATCATAAAGCATCACTATCTGCTAAACGATTTCATTTTTCTTTTTAAGTGAGTTGGTTGAAAATAAGTTTTATTCAATTGTATAACAGATTTCATGTTTGTAAGTACGAATATTATGTTCTATAAAATACTAAATTATCACATTGATGAATAAAAACAGTTGAGATTTATGAGTACGTTTACTTTGTTTTGGCATTTATTCAGAATTGATTGGCGATCGTGGGGAGAAAGGAGATGATGGTGAGGTTGGTGAGAAAGGCTCCCGAGGCATTGATGGACGAAAAGGCGAAATAGGCCAAACGGCAGCACCGTCCGAACGAGGTGAAACTGGTTTTCCAGGTCCTGATGGGGAAAAAGGAGATCCGGGTCCACCAGGTAGGATTCACATGATTTTTATCAATAAAATTCTTGCACTTAGAAATTCAGATCATCATTCCATTAAACTTCCCATTATATATTTAATGTAGGTATTGAAGGTCCTCAAGGACTTCAGGGAGATCCTGGTCAAGTGATTGATGGGATCGAAGGAGATATCGGTGAACAAGGTCCTGAAGGCCCAAAAGGATTTAAGGGTGAGTATAATATTTCATCATATCATCAATTACAAATCTGGTTTGTTGTAGACTAGCAGATTAAAAATCGACGATATTTTTAAAAGGTGCATATTATTTCCAATTAGTAACTCTTGCTATATTTCTCGTATTAAAACGGATTGAAAAAAACACTGGTAATTTAACTAGACCAATAAATATGAATAATATTAATATATTTCTTTTTGTTATATGTTTTTGAAAGATCTAACTCAAAACTCTTGCTTCTTGTAACTTAGAATAGCCTCTTTTAGGTTTTCAGCATTAAAATACAAAATTAGAGTTATGAAGTACAGCGATTTTAACAGTGATATTTTACTTAAGAAGACATTGCAAATACATAAAATATTATAAACCTCCTTTAATAACTCTCTTACAGGGGAAGAAGGCGATGTGGGTGATAATGGTGATTCACCAGAACGTATCAAGGGTGAACGTGGACCCGACGGTGAACCTGGAACTGAAGGAGACGAAGGAGAACCAGGTATTCCTGGACAAAAAGGAGAACCTGGGGCTGAAGGTACGCACTCAAAGTGTTAAGAATATTTTCTAATTAGTTACATCAGTGATTAATATGCATGAAGGCCGAACTAACTGTAAATATTATCATTTCAAGCCGGTCAGCAAGGAGAAACTGGTAGCCCTGGAGAAAAGGGAGATTCTGGACCTAAAGGTCTACCTGGCCCTAAAGGAGAACCCAGTTCGGATATGCAGTCGGGCGATCAAGGTCCTAAGGGTGAACCCGGTTTAATGGGATCAGAAGGAGAAAAGGGTGGTGCTGGTGACGTTGCTGAATGCAATGAAGCCGGTTTAATCGGAGATCCTGGACCTGATGGAGCAATGGGAACAATTGGCAGTCCAGGTGATGATGGAGAACAAGGAGAAGATGGTGATGTTGGACCGGAAGGAGAACCGGGTCCTGATGGTGAGTTGAATTAATATCTTAACATATTGTTGGGTCTACGTATTATGACTAGTCAAAAAGATATCATAAAAATAATGGCATTAATCTTAGTTAGACATCTGTTAAAAACCAGGAAACACTGGACGTCCGTTTCGTTCTAGTACGGAACTTACCAGTGAGCATCCGGAACCCTACAAGGGATTGATCTTAAGACTTTTGGGTCGCACAGCGAGCGCTCAACCTCTAGACTAATGGACCTTTATTTAGTGTTTTATATATTTGACTGTGATTAGCGACTTTGTGAAATCATCTTTCAATGTCATTGACGGAGTAACTGATCCGTACTCGACATGGATGAACCCCAATAATTACAGCGTCTCATTAAGGTTCTGAGGGTTACGTCTCCAAATTAGTCAATGGCAAGCACATGTCAAATTGTCATAGGATTTTCTGGATATGGTTGAATTTTGCAGAATACACTACCGACTAATCTTAGTTAAACATCCGCTGAAATACATGAAGCGCAAACCGCTTAAGTACGATATAGAGAAGTTTTATTGGCTACCATGGGAACTATACAGGTTGAGTCACAGTGTACTTTCGAACACCATGATATCTCTTTCGATTATTAGTTAATCAGAGTCAAATCATTCTCACGTCTACTTCGCATCATAGAGTAAAAGAATTAGAATGGTAGGAATGTACAGTGATTACTTTGAAATCCGTTTTTCCTAATATGAAACTGACACATTTCCATCAAATTTAACAAAAAAACTTTTAGAATATTAAAGATTCCCATTGTGAAAATTAGAACAACACATATAAGCGAACAATTGTTTTCAATTAGATCGTCATCAGGCTTTACTCTAATAAACATGGATATTTATACGAAAATTTTAAACCAATCAAGGCAATATGAGTCAATAATCACAATGAAATAGAATAAGTCACTACACGTAAAATAGGTAAAAGTACAAGTTGATAGTACGAAGACAGGTGAACAGGTGAACAGATAGTGGTAAGAATAATAAACTATAATAACAAAACTCTTATCAATAGTTAATCGTTGGAAATAGAAGGTCAAATAAACATGGGTAAATAGACTAGGAATAGTAATCACAAAACCTTAAAAATCATTACGTAATAAGATGTGTGTAAATAATTAGATAGTGAAGAATACAAAGAGGCGGATAATGACAAACAAATAATGGATGTGGAAATAAGGTTAACAATAACACAAATAGAATAAAATAAATAATGATAATAATAAAATTTAAAATAAAAAATAAAAAATAATAAATAAAAAATAAAAAATTGTTAGTTAAGTTATAACTGGCCATGGAAGGGATAGGGGAGTCACGTATTTCTTCTGTACACATAGATTGGGGTTATATGTACGAATTCCAATGGCTTCAGCTATATATAGGAGACGGGAACGGACTCCGTCGGGAAATGATGGAGGTATACGATAGATAACTCGAAATGATTTCGATTTCTCTACTGTATGACCGCTATCAATAAGATGTGCTAGTATAGAACTCCGAATAGTTTTTTTCTCTGACCCTTTATGTACCAAGTTGGTAAATGTTCACTCATTCGTTGGTTAAGTTGCCTGGTAGTACGCCCTATATAGCTATCTCCACAGGAGCAGCTGAATTTGTAAATGCACATGGAAGAGGCCAACTCAGGTAACTTATCCTTCGTTTGAGTAGACATCGCTGGACGACAAGAGAAGGTCAACGCAAGATTGGCTGCGTAGAATGTCTTGGTGATTACTTTGGTTAACCTATATTTCAGAGTGTCACTAGCCACATCCCCGTTGAATTGCACTTTCATGTATAAAGGTTTCTTACGAACAGTCGAAATCTCCGACTTCTTTATTATATCCTGCATGTATTTCTTGATGAACGCGCTGGGGTAGCCGATCTCGGTCAGTGAGTTGTTGAGAAATTCAAGCTCCTGACTTAAAGTGTCTGCTGTACAGATCTTTTTTGCTCTGCTCGTGAGACATCTGACCAAATTTCTCTTGTACCGGATGGGTGTGAAACTGCAGAAGTGAGTATATTGGCATGAAGAGGGGTTTCTTCTATACACGCTTCTACTTAATGTGCCGTCACTTCGTCTGCTTAGCGTGACGTCAAGGAAGCTCAGCTTCTTATCATGCTCGCTTTCACCAGTGAAGGTGATCGCTGGGTGAACACTGTTGAATTGGTCTAGGAGTTCCTCTTTACTAGTGTTTTGGTCTACGATAATGAATGTGTCGTCAATGTATCGACAATATAAATCCAGTTTCTTAATAGTCTCATTGAGAGGTCCGTTTTCTAGCTTTGCTAGGAAGAGGTCAGCTAAGATCGGGCCTAGAGGCGAGCCCATGGCTATCCCTTCTATTTGTCTATAGTAAGTATTGTTGAAGACAAAATGTACATTCAGAGTGCATCTTAGGAGCAGTTCCCTTAGGCTATCGTTAGGCAGGCCAATGTTGATTTGTTTCTTTGATATTTGCTTGCATATAAAATCAATAGTCTCTATAAGTGGTACGTTGGTGAACAAAGATTCTACATCCAATGAGATCATATTTTTCATGCTTACATTAATATTTTCTACTTTGGAGATGAAGTTGAAGACATCTTTTACACTATTTCTAACAACTGATTTGTGTAAAGGTTCTATGATTCGTACTAGCCACTTTGCGATTTTGTGGTAAGGAGAATTGTACATATCTAGAACTGGGCGTAGAGGAAGACCCGATTTATGTACTTTAGGCAAACCATACAATCGTGGTGTGAATGATCCAGTCGGCTTAATTGAATCGTAAATCTCAGTCGTAATTATCCCCTTTTTCGTTAGATCTTTAAGGAAATTGGCCAGTTGTCTTTCTACTTTATTATTGACGTCACAATTACTAGTAATTTTCTGAAATTTGCTAGAATCGCTAAGCATTGTTTCCATTTTTCCCAGGTAATCTTTTTTGTTCATGAGAACTATACCTCCTCCTTTATCTGGTTTGGTTATGGTTAGGGTTTCATCTTTTCTTAGTTTCATTAAAGATTCACGGTGCTGCTTGGTAAGTAGGTGATTTGTGGTACCCTTACTATTCTTGTATTGTTGGCAGCTATCAACTAGTGTGGTTTTAAACCGAGCAAGGTCATCCAAAGAGGTAGGAATCAAGTCAGTTGTTTGTGAAAATAAATTCTCAAATTGTACATCAGTATCTAATTGGTTGATTCTATGTCTACTATCACAGAATTTAGGTCCCAGAGATAAAGCTTCTAGCTGTACTACATCTAGTTCAATATTGGAAAAATTATGTACGTACCGTTTCGTGTCGAAGGGAAACTCCTTTTCTGGCTTCTGGTTTTCCAAAGTTTTCATTAGTTTCGTCAACGTTTTCTCAGATCTGTTCTTGGAAATTTTTCCCACATAATCCATAAACATTGACTGAAGCTCTGAAGGAAGATTTTTAACGGAATATTGTCTTTTACATCATTTTGTTGAACCTGTAACAGATCAATACACTTAGTCTTTCATATTGTGTGCTTATCTACAAGCCCACAAAGCAATCGAACAATAAATCGCCTGATGAAGGTAAAAGTATATTATTCTGACGGCCATAAATGACCTACCAAATAAGTTAGATGATATGAAAGATTGGTGTGGATTTAAAGCATCGTTACGGATATTTAATTATTTATATTATCTTTTCGATTAGATTTCGGATGGATTGAATGATGATGCGTTTGCCCAATAAAGTGTTAGGGTTATGAGTTAGGATTAAGGATATAAGAATTTCTAGCGTGATTACAAACATAGAGACCTAATAAGTTCATTAATCGCGCTAAAACCATAAATCTTTTGTAAGTTTATCATTTTGATTTGCAACATGAATCTCACAAAACCTGTAATCTGACTGGACAGTGTTTAGTTGGTTTGATTGAAGGTCACTCTTGACGTCTCATAACCGTAATTATAACATACTTTTCCCTTAGATCTGATTGTTCTTGTTTCTTGTTTTTTCTATTAGTGTTCAAATGTAGAATTTTTACTCGTGCAACCAATAAGGCTAGTTGACTTTTAATGTTGCTCCCCCTATCTCTCTATCACGAGAAAATAGTTGTAAATCGACTTTCGGACTGATTTATAGTTTTAATAATGTTCGAGTTCTATCTCCTTTTAATAGTAACCTGATAAGTCGTGTAGGTTGAACGCTATATACGGTTCCTAAGCTATTTTGGTAACCCGCAGTCTAGAACTACACAGCGACTTGAACTCCAGAGAGAAGACACAAGAATGAGAGAAAGCACTTTATTCCAAGGTTCATTTTTGTACAGAAAATCATGGGTATTTATAGATTTTGGCGTCTGTTAAATCAACATCATTTTACAGCCAATCCGATAACAACACATTATGCTACCGACCAATAATAGCACGCCACGTTGGAATTCTAGAACGTTCCATCACACTCTGATTGGCCAGGACTCTTCGGCTCCTTGTGGGCCTCTGGAGGCTCCGTTGAAGTTCTCCGGAAGCCGACCCAACACCTCCCCCGAATAAGATTTCTTTCTGGAATCCACTTGTAGTTTGATAACTGGATTGCGACGGCGTCCCATTATTCTTGTCGTCTTTCTTGTCCAAGACTTCTTTTCAGTGTTCCTGGGCGTTTGTGGCATTGGTGCGTCTAAGATTAAATCTAACGGGAAAGTCGGCCGGTTACTTCGAGTCTGCACCGTTCTTTTGTCCTTAAGGATTTGATTTGTGTGACGTATACATGTCCCAAAAGCTCCTCGAACTTTGTACAGTACTCTCCCCAGTTTTTGCACCACTTCGCCCGGCTCCCATCGGTTCTTCCCGATGTAGGATTTAATGTAGACTTTGTCGCCAATACTGAAGTTCCGGATACTTGGGTCGCGACTACGCTCATCCACTAGTTTGGATGGCGACATGGCATCGAAGACTGTTCGAAAACGCCTTCCAAACATGGCTTCCGCGGGAGATTTGCCGTCTTGAACATTTGGGTTTGGGGT